CCGAAGACAAAGCTGCCGAGGGTATAGTTCTTGAGGATGGCGCTTCCGGGGATATGACCCCGAAAATAGATTAGTTTCAAATTTTCTTTTATGTACAAGGGCCCCTTGTGAGCATTATAAATATGTTTTGTAAAACATCCCTTATGAATATAAAGTATATTTTTGCTCTATCCTCAACTTGTGTTGAATTTTATTTTGTTCTCATTTGTGAAAGATTTCGATTGTACAATTCAAATAATTAGTCCGAGTATTGGTTCAAACTCAGAACATAATAAACCCTTAGGTTTTTATTGATCAATATAATACCCCTTAAGGTTTTTTTAACCCTCGAGCTAAGCTTAAATCAATTTTGATGTGAGCTCGAAATAATGGGACTCTTGGGACCGAGTTGAGTGAGAACGAGGTCTTGACCTCTATATGTTTTGGCCCTTAGGCCTTTTTAAGTTGGCCCTTAGGTTCTTATACATCGGCCCTTAGGATCTTATACGTCGGCCCTTAGGCTCTTTAAGTTGGGCCGATTCGGCCTCTAAAGTGGCTATAATTTTTCCCTTTTTTCCGCTAAAAGACTTTGTGAAAATTTTTGTATGCCTTAGCATGTACATTTTGTACCCGTTGGGTTTTTCGAGGTCCGACGTATTGGAACCTTATTAGTAACTTGTTTGTGTAATGATGATCGAATACCTCTTAAGGTTTTATCGAAGGCTGATGTTATCGAAACCTTTAAATTATTCGAGGGCTAAGTTTATCGAAGCCCTTTATTTTTTGCTTTTGCCGAGGGTAGCCTATTTTATCCAGTTTTTACAAAGTATTTGAAGGCCTCTAATTTATAGCAGAAGTCGGACGTCTCCGAGCCGCATTATTTAGGCTGTAGCCTTTTTACATGATCGCAGTCTTTAGTATGGCTGTAGACTTCGGGTATGTCACTTGGACTTGTTTCCCGATAACTTTTGGAACTTGTTCGAAAAGTTAATCCCCGAGTATATTGGCCTTGGCCTTTGTTTCGAGGGGATGCCTCTTTGAGGTCTTATGAGTCCAAGTTATTGGTGACTCATATGTATTGACTGTCGATGATACTCCCCGTGTATTCGGGGGTGCTTTTATGCTTTGGCTCTTGAGCCGTTTCCCGTAGGATTATAAGTGTAGAACTCGTATAATAGTAGACTTCTTTGAGACAAAAAGTTATTTTGATATTAACATAATGCTTCTTCAAATAATTGATACAAGCGTACATGTTTTGCCGTCGGGGCTCGATTATTCTATATGGACACGGTTCATCTGACTGTTTGGCCCATTATAAAATTTTCCTATCGAGGCCCTCTTAGACGTGAAGTATTTTCCATAAAAATATAACCTCCGAGGGTGATTCCTCCCAGTATTCGAGGTTGATTGAAAAGAATCTTTGGATACTGTTGAGTTCTCCTTAGGCAGCACATAATTGCTGCCTCGTTAAAAACCTTGCCGGTAAAACCCATTTGGGACAAAATCCGATCTAAAGGAAAAAGAGTGCAATGCATGCTTTAAAACCTAAGGCCTTCGTGTAAACAGGGTGTCTTCGATATCGCGTGCCTTCGATCGCTTCGATCAAAAATCTGTAATAAGTTAGTTTTAAACTCAAATGGACAAAAAGGATAAAGTCATACCTTAGCAGTAGTATCATTTGAATAATGATACGTTCCATTTTTTTGGCAGTTGTTCACCTTCTATTGTGCTAAGTCTGTAAAATCCTTTATCGACAACTCCGAGGACTCGGTACGGGCCTTCCCAATTCGGGCCTAGTTTCCCTTCATTAGGGTCTCGAGTATTGAGGGTGACCTTTCGTAGAACTAAGTCCCCGACTCTAAAGTGTCGAAGGTTGGTCAGTCTATTATAGTATCTTTCGATCCTTTGCTTCTGCGCGGCCGTCCGAACAAACACTGCTTCTCGCTTTTCATCTAATAACTCGAGGTTTGCATTCATGGCCTCGTGATTTAACTCCTCCGATACATGTCGAAACCTAGCGTTGGGTTCTCCAACCTCGACGGGGATGAGGGCCTCAGAGCCATATACTAGAGAAAAAGGGGTGGCCCCCGTGCTAGACTTCGATGTCATCCGATATGCCTAAAGGACCTCGGGTAAAACTTCTCTCCATTTCCCTTTTGCATCGTCCAATCTTTTTTCAAGTTTTGAATGATAGTTTTATTTGTTGACTCGGCCTGTTCGTTTCCAGTTGGATGGTATTGTGTCGATAAGATCCTCGTTATTTTGTGTGCCTTAAGGAACTTCATCACCTTGATGTCGATGAATTGTTTTCCATTGTCACATACAATCTCCACAGGTATCCCGAACCGGCATATGATGTGGTCCCAAATGAAGCCAACAACTTCTTTTTCTCTGACCTTCTCGAAGGCCTGTGCTTCCACCCACTTAGAAAAATAATCAATCATAAACAGAATAAATTTAGCTTTACCTGGAGCCGTTGGTAGGGGCCCGACTATACCTTCCACATTTCATAAAAGGCCACGGGGATAGGACCGAATGGAGTTGTTTTCCGGGATGATGGATCATTGGTACAAATCGTTGACACTTATCACATTTTTTGACAAATTCCTTAGGATATTTTTCCATGCTATCCCAGTAGTAACATGCTGTGATAATTTTATGGACCAAAGATTCGGCACCGAAATAGTTCCACAAGTGCCTTCACGGATTTCTCATAGGACATAATTGGTGTCCCCTGGCCCCAAACATATCGCCAATGGCCCATCGAACGTTCTCCGGTACAACGTTCCATCTTCATCTAATGCAAACCTAGCAGCTTTGGCTCGTAGAGCCCTCGATTCTTTGTGGTCCGATGGGAATTTTTCACTCTTCAAATGGTCGATATATTTATTCCTCCAGTCCCACGTTAAACTTGTTGAATTTATCTCGGCATGACCCTCTTCAATCACAGATCTCGATAACTGGACGATAGTCCCTGGGAAGATTTCATCTTCTTCGACCGAGGATCCTAGATTAGCAAGCGCGTCGGCCTCGCTATTTTGCTCTCGAGGCACATGATCTAAAGTCCATTCTTTGAAGCGGTGCAAAGTTACCTGTAGTTTGTCCAAGTATCATTGCATTCTATCCTCTCGAACCTCGAAACTTTTGTTCACTTGGTTCACCACCAATAGAGAATCACATTTGGCTTTGATGACTTCTTCTCCCAAGCTTTTAGCTAGCTCGATACCTGCAATCATGGCCTCATACTCGGCCTCATTGTTAATTAATCTTGGAGTTTTGATAGATTGCCTAATGGTATCACCCGTAGGTGGCTTCAAGACAATGCCAAGCCTGGACCCCTTCACATTCTAGGCACCATCTGTGAAAATGGTCCACCCCCCCCCCCCGATGTTGTACCTGAACTTAGCAGGAGTTCTTTCTCTACTTCGGGTACGAAGGTCGGTGAAAAATCGGCCACAAAGTCAGCTAGGATTTGAGACTTGATGGTCGTTTGGGGTTGATATTTGATATCATACCCGCTAAGTTCGATGGCCCATTTGGCCAATCGGCCCGATAACTCGTGCTTATGCAAAACATTTCGAAGGGAGTAAGTGGTTAATACACATATAAGATGACATTGAAAATATGGTTTTAACTTTTGAGATGTGCTTATCAATGTAAGTGCTAATTTTTCTAAGTGAGGATACCTAGTTTCAGCATCTCCAAGAGTTCAGCTTGTGTAATAAACAAGAAATTGCGTACCTTGCTCTTCTCGAACTAGTACCCCACTTAACTCTATCTCGGACATTGCCAAGTATAGATAAAGCTTTTCATCTATTTTCGGGGTGTGAAGCAAAGTCAGGCTCGACAGATATCGCTTTAATTCTTCTAAGGCTCACTGACATTCCGGAGTCCACGTGAAATGCTTTTTCTTTTTGAGTAAGGAAAAGAATTGGTGACTCCGATCCGACGACATCGAAATGAATCGACCCAAGGCAGCTATTCGCCCTCTTAGCCTTTGCATGACCTTCACACTATCCACGATCATGATATCCTCGATAGCCTTAATCTTATCAGGGTTGATTTCGATACGCCAATTTGACACCATGAAGCTGAGGAACTAACACGAGCCAACTCCGAAGGCACATTTCTCTGGGTTAAGCTTCATGTTGTATTTTCTCAAGATTCAAATGTTTCCTGCAAATGAACTAAATGGTATTTTGCGTGTAGGGACTTAACCAATATATCATCAATATAGACTTCCATTGTTTTACCTATTTGTTCTTCGAATATTTTGTTAACTAGGCGTTGGTATGTAGCTCCTGCATTTTTTAGCCCGAAGGGCCTTACGTTGTAAGAATAAGTTCCAAATTTAGTAATAAACAAAGTCTTTTGTTGGTCCCCCGGGTTTATCTGAATCTGATTGTACCCGGAGCAGGTATCAAGAAAAGTTAGGGTCTCGTGGCCAGTCGTGGCGTCGATCATACGATCGATGTTTGGCAAATGGAAAGAATCTTTTGGACATGCTTTGTTCAAGTCCTTATAATCTACGCACATTCTAAGTTTGTTTCCCTTTTTAGGAACTACAACTACATTGGCTAACCACTCGGGGTACTTTACTTCCCGAATAGACCCTATTTTAAGAAGTTTGGTTACCTCGTCTTTTATGAAAGCGTGCTTTACTTCAGACTGAGGCCTCTTTTTTTGCTTTACCGGTTTGAACCTGGGATCGGTGCTTAACCGATGCGTGGTGATTTCCGGTGGAATCCCTGTCATATCTAAATGGGACCAAGCAAAGCAATCCATATTATCAATAAGAAATTGAATGAGTTTTTTCCTGAGTTCGGGAGTCAATCCCGTTCCCGGGTATATCTTTCTCTCGGGCAAGTATTCGATAAGTATGACCTGCTCCAGTTCCTCGACAGTTGACTTGGTTGCATCAGACTCTTCAGGAACGGCGAAGGTTCGAGGAGTAAGGAAATCCTCTTATTCATCTTCGATTACCTGTTGCTCGACTCCATCGAGGCTGGGGGATGTAATTGCTATTTGGCCACCTGTTTACCTTCAATGCTCGATTTTTCCGAGGTTGAAGGCTCTAGATTAGGTACCACTTCCTCGATTGCAAACATCTCCTTTGCAGCATGTTGTTCTCCATAAACTGTTTTCACTCCTTCCTCTGTTGGGAACTTTATTATTTGGTGAAGAGTTGAAGGCGCTGCCCTCATGTTGTGTATCCATGGTCTCCCGATGAGTGGGTTATACCTCATGTCACCTTCGATGACATAGAACTTTGTATTTTGTACAGTCCCGGCTACGTTTACTAGCAGGATAATTTTTCCCTTTGTTGTTTTGCTTGCCATGTTGAAGCCATTCAGGACTCGGGATGCAGGTACAATCTAATCTTGTAGGCCGAATTGTTCCACGATCTCAATCTGATTATGTTTGCAGAGCAACCTGGATCCACTAAAACACGTTTAACTTGAATTTTATTTAAAAGGAAAGAGATTACTAGGGTGTCATTGTGAGGCTAAGATATGCCTTTTGCTTCCTCGTCACATAATGATAAGATGTCCTCGGGCACATAGCTTTGAGTCCATTTTTCTCTGGTGATTGATACTTTGGTGCATTTGAACACAGGTCGTTGAGGGACATCGACTCCGCCAATGATCATGTGGATTACATGTTGTGGTTCTTCTTGCTCATTTTTCCTTGCATCTCTCTCCCTAAAGTGATTCTTAGCCCGATCACTTAGGAATTCTCGAAGATGGCCCTCGTTGAACAACCGAGCCACTTTTTCCCTTAGCTGCCTACAATCTTTTGTTCTATGACCGTGTGTACCATGATACTTGTACATCAAGTTTGGGTTTCTTTGAGAAGGATCGGTCAGTATAGGCTTGGGCCACTTGGTGTCTTTGATTCTCCCAATAGCTGAGAAATCCCCGATGCATCTATGCTGAAGTTGTACTCTTATAATCGAGGAACCTCGATGGGGTTGGTGTGCTTATCTAACCCGCTCTTACTCATGAGTCCTCGAGAACTTTGGCCTCGATCGTTCCTCCGATCGTTTTGAGGAGCATTATTTCCTAGACCGTTATTTCTCCGATCGACGTATGGCTGATACTGCTCTTTGTTGAATCTCGATTCCCGGTCTGTGTCCCTCGGGGGCTTAGCTGCGAATCTGTTAGGATGAACTAAACCTGAGGGGGCTCCCAACTAGTCATCCTCGACCCTGATTTTCGACTGGTAACGATTGTGCACATCTGACCATGTTACAGTCAGATATTCGATCAAGTTCTATTTCAACTGTCGGGACGCTATCGAGCTTCTTTCATTCAAACCTTGCATGAAAGCTTGTACTGATAAGTCATCAGAGACTGGCGGTAACTCCATTCTTTCCATCTGAAACCTGGACACGAACTCCTTTAATATCTCGTCGTTCCTTAGTTTTATTTTGAAGACGTCCAATTTTCTCGTGGCCATCTTTATGGCCCCGGCGTGTGCTTTCACAAAGGTATCTGCTAACATAGCAAACGAGTCAATAAAGTAGGATCTAAGTTATGATACCAAATCATAGTGCCTTTCGACAATGTTTCTCCAAACTTTTTCAATAAGACTGATTCTTTCTCATCGTCGTTCAAATCATTCCCTTTGATCCCGCAAGTGTATGAATTAATATGCTCGTTGGGGTCGGTTGTTCCGTTATATTTGGGTATATCGGGTATGCGAAATTTCTTAGGAATGGGAATCGGAGCTGTGCTCTGAGGGAATGGTTTTTGTATGAACTTTTTTGATCTAAACCTTTCAAAACTGGCGGTGCCCCTGATATCTGGTCGACATGGGAGTTATAAGTTTCCACCTTCTTATCATTGTCTTCAATTTTCTTTTCTCCGGACTCGATCCTCTTAGTAAGATCTTCGACCATCCTCATAATCGTGGGGTCAGTCCCCGAGCCACTTTTATCGAGCCTTTCTAGCGCTGGTTCAGTACACCGAGTGTTTACTGGTTCGGCTATGTTTGGAGTTTTATTCTGAATCTGAAGTTGAGCGATGGCGATTTGCTGAGCTTGTAGCATCTTGAATATCACTTGGAGGTTGACTCCCCCATATCCCATTTCTTGTGTTCTTTGGCCACTGGATCGGGTTTCCCTGTGTATATTTCCTTCGAGGTCCGCACCTAGATCTGCATCTAAAGTGATGTGCGAACTAACATCAACTGGTTCCACATTTGGAACTTCCCCTGGGTTTATCGGTGGTACATCGGCCTTGCATTGTTGTTTTCCCCAAGACCTTCGTTGTCATGAATGGGTGTGTTTTGTGAGCTAGACATGTTTCGACCTGAGAATCAGAAAATCTTTGACAAGAAAAAGTGTAAAAACAACGTATGTAATGAGAATCGGTAAAGAAATAATCACTATAATCTTTAACCCTACGGTGGGCGCCAAACTATTTACCTAAAAATACGAGTAACAATTAAATTTGATTTGTGGTTTAAAGATATGTGATTTAGTTCAATACCAATTAATAATCAAGAAGTATAAAGTAAAAATGAAAGAGATAAGTGAATCAAACTAATGTTACTCAGCAGCAGTGACCTCGAGCTTAGTGACCTCGAGGTAGGCTTAGAACAATAAGAACAATTAAATAATAAAAGGAAAGTAAGAACAGTAGAGCTAAAGGACAATGCTGATGAACAGTAGGCAAAAAGGTAGGGAGTATATTCTTTTCTCAATGATTAGATGGTGTTACAAATGGTTGGGGTCCCCTTTATATAATAGGGGAATCTCTAAATAAGGTATATTTCTATTGACAGTAAGGAATATTCCTGATACAACTGTCTAACCGCCTAGTATGGAATGTACAATCCTATTCCCGAATTTGCGCCATGATCTTGGGGACGTGGCAGGTATCTAGCTCATTCTCTTACAAATCCATAACGGTACTATTTCAAGGTCGAACACACTCGACCTCGATATGTATCTTGCTTTGTCTTCGAACTCAGGTCTGGTCCCTCGAGTTTGAACTTTATCTTGCCTGGCTTCGGACTTCCAACGGCCTCTCGAGTATATAGATTGAAGACACACGATCTCGACCGTATAGGATATATTCAAACTCCCGGTAGTTCAGATGTTTCTATTAAAATACTTTTATATATCAGTATTTGTCTTTCGAACATAGTTCCTAGAGTATATGTCGGGACAACTTCATTTGCAAATACCGGAAGAACTGCTAAAATCTTCAATCTATCTAAAATCTTTCTTTCGAGCTTCTTCCTTGGCTAGCACTCCACATTACCTTTCATTTCAGTAAAAATAGCACGGGCTGACCAATTTTCAGACTGGTCATTCAAAAATAGCCACCATTTGCAAAGTCATTGAAAAATAGCCAGTATTTTGCTGTGATACGGAAAGTTCCAGCATAATATACTGGAGATCGGTGCACCTGTGTATAAACTTCCAGCATATTATACTGAAACTTCAACACGCGGAAGTTCCAACATAATATACTGGAGATTGAAGCACCTCTATGAACTTCCAACATATTTTGCTGGACCGGTATACTGGAACTCCAGTATATTATGCTGGAAGTCCGGTATAATATACTGGAGTTCCAATATACTTATGCCAGTATACTTATGCTGGAATTCCAATATATTATGCTGGAGTATTTTTCGGATTTTGAACAGTGTATTCGTTCAGATTTATCTTTACATGAAAGGTGGCTAAATTTTGATTACTTTTGAAACTGTGACTATTTTTGAATGACCACTTGTAAATCTAGCTATTTTTAAATTTCTTCCATCGTTTCATCGTATTATCATCCAACTAAATCAATTTACTAGAGTTGTTTTTTGGGAAATTTTCATAACACACTATATTTTAGTAGTAATTAGCCATCTATAGATACCATTTGTTATATTACGGATTATAAATACCTTTTCTGTGGTTATAAGATGTATTTGATGTATTTAAGCTATTGTATTCATGAATACAGTAGCAAAAATAGGCATGGATCAGGGAAGTTCAACTAATCAGTTGTTGTATTCGAGTGTATTCAACTGTATTCATAGAGTGAAATATGAGATTACAGCTGGACAAATTATTGTATTCAGTTGTATTCGACTGTATTCACGACGTGAAATAGGGGATTACACTATTTTTAAAACGGAAAGTGAATCAATTAACATAATAAACTCCTAATATAACTCAACAAACTTAATTATAACACACAAAAATTGTATTTTCAGTTATAAAAAAGATTCTCAACCGAAAAATACCCCAAAAACATAGCAATCTTTAGAGAAATTATATAATACATCTGAATACATATATTATATTAATTAAAAAAACATATGAATACATTCATGGCATATAACGAGACAGTGAATACAATAAAATACATAGAATACAGCATGATACATTGAAATACAATGAAAAAAAGATAGTGAATACAATGAAATACATGGAATACAACGAGATACATTGAATTATAATAAAAAAAAGACAATGAATACAATGAAATACATGAAAATACATTGAAATATATTAACAGAAAATCAAGTTGCTCAGCCCCAAACTCCGTCGCCTTTGTTCAAGAACAAACCCTAATTTTCGGCGAATCCGCCGTAGCAACGTTTGAAGGTACAACATGCGACACCTTTGAGATTTGAAGGTACAACATGCAACACCTTTTTTCATTACCTGCTACCCAACGTTGCTTGAATTATACAAGGGAGCAGCGGATGTATCATAGCCAAACAAGTGAAAGCTCTCTTAGTATTGGCCGGTTATCATTAAGAGACAGGAATGCCACCTTCTAAGAAGGATTTTAAAGCGATGAGGGTGGTCAGATTGAATTCCCTCCGATGAAATCCCAAAAACTCTGTCACCGAGGGACAACACTGATTTGATGAGATCCTCTGAAATTTCATGGTTACCTACCTCAAAGCACCAACCGAAATCAGAATTTTCAAAATTGATTCATTGCTTAACGACGTTAAAGACTCATAATTGAGTTTTGATGGATTGCGAATGGATTTTTGCCTGGGGAAGATTCGATCAGGAAGCCTGAGGTCCGCTGCTACCCAACATATTCAATTCGGTGCAAGAATTTATCGGAATGAAAAGAAAATAGTGTGGGTGAGAGGAATTTTGAGATTGAGCATCGTGTTTTCAGGGAAGAGAATGAGATGTATCAAAGTAGAGAGAGAAAGAAAATAGTGTAACTGAATAACATATTTAGTGGTTTAGGGCTAGGAGGTAACCAAAATTAAATATTTTATTATAAACCTTAAAAGGTATCTATAAAATATAATTTTTTTAAATGGTATTTATTCAAAATAAATAAGGTGTTAACCTTTGCTA